ACACATTGAGGATTGGAGCCAACAAACCACGCAAGAAAGTCTTGTTTGCCAGCAGCTTTAGCGATTCTATGGCAAAAGCGGGGACCCATGGAGCAGACTTTCGAAATTTGCACGGCGATTCTAGCTAAAACGAACCGCCTTTGTAAGTGAGTAAGTGATGATAAAATGTTGTCTGCAAGAGCTAGGAGATGGAAAAACGAAACGCGCACGTTACAAGGTGTTTTACAAGGCTGTCACAAGCACGAGCGCGGTCAGTAGTTGGCACGTGGTTTAAGCTCAGAGGTTTGTGCTGCTCGGTGCTGCGTGGACTTCAGCGGCAGGTTTGTCTTTGCAGTTGTTGATTGTGCTCTAGGTCGCCAAATTTGATTCCACATCAAACGCTTAAGAAGGTGAGTTGAAAGTTGAGTGCCTGTGTCTTCTTACCACAACCACTGTTGAACTTGTCATTTTTGTCTGACCAATAGCACTTTGAATGCAACTCCTTAACGCAATATTGCTTGTAGAATAATGGAATGTGCAAATTATTTGGCAAGACTCATTCCTCTTGGATAGTTTGTAATGATAAGCACAACTCAACCCCTAATAATCATTTCATTCGCTAGTTCTTCCATTGGTGAAGATGGACGTTGAACAAGTCGCTGCAATAGTCGGGGACAAAGTGGCGCTTCTCGTCGACTCCGATGAGAGCGCAATAGAGCACGCTGAGGTGACTTTTGCCGAAAGAAATACACAGCTGACACTAGAAATCGACGCTCTGAAGGAGAAATTGACCACCCTGGAAATTGTAGCTGGCTGTAAGTTTGCTTCTATCCATCCTTAGGCAGGTCGTTTATAGGCCTTCAATACCTAGCCCCCGCACCTGGAAACCCCCTCGACGGCTTTGCAGATGCCATTTGTGGACCTGGTGCGTCTTTCCTATTCTATTTTGTAGTAATGCTTCTGTGATTCAGTGCCGACTTGGCGCTAGAAATTTTGACTGATGGGGAGCATAACTGGAGCTCCTGTATGCGAAACCATGTCCTTGTCACTGTACGTTAAGTTTGGCATCCTTAGCTGTCAAGCTTTCGACCCCACAGTAGTGCGTTGCTTAGTTTGCCA